CAGAAGGCCCCACCACCATAAGATTCTATGATGAGGCTAAGCACCTGTAGCTCAGACGGCTAGGGCACCAGCACATACACCGGAGCTGGCAGGTTTGAATACAGCCTGGGCCAAAAAATAGCTGGGCGTTGTAGCAGGAGCCTATAGTCTCAGCTACTTGGGAGGCTGAGGCAAGAGAATCACTTGGGCCCAGGAATTTGAGGTTGCTGTGAGCTGTGACGCCATAGCACTCTACCCAGGGTGACAGCTTGAGATTCTGTCTCAAAAAAAAAAAGATTCTGTGATGGGAGAGGTTATGGAGGTGTACCTTCTTAATTGGTAATTAGCCACTTTTTTTCTGAAGAAAAGACATAGGACAGTACTCTTTCCCCAGTAACCATGAAATCTAACAAGCAGCACAGCTATCAGGCGGGGATGCTCTCCAAATAGGAAAGACAACGTGGATAAAATTCCTTGTATTAGTCCTGATACAAGGACTAATTGTCCTAATTCCCTTCTAGTCCTTCTATTAGGCCAAGAAGGGAAACTGCTTTTGCTCTGCACTGAGGAAGAATGTTTTTAGCAATTATGCCTCTTTGTGAAACTTATCAGTGTAGCGTTAAAAGCAGCTTTCAGAATCATTCTTTCACCAGTTTCCATTGGTTAAATACAGAATTGAGAATTCAAAGACTCACAGCCTAACTTCATGATACAGATAGGAAGGATAAGTGATAAAAGATGAGACCTTTCCAAAAGTAAAAGAATGTACTCCACTATATCTGTTCTTTCCCAAGAAGTCTTCTCAACAAGCTGTTACTACAAATTATTATGTGAAACATATTTTGACCTGAATTTTCAATTTCTCAGCCATGTGAGAAAATAAGTCAAACTACTTGAAATCACACCTAAAATACTTGCTCAGCTTAATTTGGTATGACTTGGATTTGAATGACTTAGTGGCCTTACAAAATACCAAATTTCCTCACAAGAGATAAATTATATCAACTGAATAAATGTAAAAAGAATTATTGCAGGCTGTAAGGGCCACCCTAAAAATTTAGATGTGAAATTCTGAACACAGGATAGTCTTCATAAAATGGTGCCTACTTTGGAAGGAATGGTTTTTGCTATGATATATAGCTTTGGAATGCCTATTTATTAAAAACAAAACAAAACCTAACTTCATGACATTACAGGTAAAATGTTAACTTACTACCAATCCCTAAGAATGAAATAACACCCTTGAGTTATTTGAAAGGTTTCCAAAAAAAATTTATTTTCATAAATTAACACACATAACAGTGGAAATTGTAGATCACAAACTACCAAACAGAAAAGGAACTGCAGGGGCATCAGTATGCCAATGTTACCAAAACTGTACAAATTTCACTGAACTATCAACCATGATAATATATAGACACTTTAGGCAGCTATTTATTGGGCACAAGCAGCCCAAGGAGATGCCGAGACCTCTCACCAAGAATTCAAACCCAATTCAGCACCACATAGGGGCTGAAGACATGATCAACAAGCATCCAATCAGAGAGCACGTGGTGCTAGAACGGTGGCCTGGACTGGAACCTCCATTTCTCAATTGAAATAACTTCTGCTGCTCAATTTGTGGCTAGATGATAATATTAAACAGTGATTTTTAGAAAAGTTAAGTAAGTCTTTCTCCCTAGACAGTCTTTTATATAACAAGTTCAGTTCTGGCAAGGAGGCCTTTCCTTACATAAATCCCAGAAAGGACACTCCACACCCCTGCAGCCAATTATTTATACTTTGGATACAGCCACCCACTGTGTGGTTATCTGAGAGGTCCTTTCCATGATACCAGGGGGAAAAGCTTAGAGAAACAAAACAAAACAAGGGTTAAAGAAAGCACCAACTGCATACATCCCCCTCATCACCCCTAGGTAGTGGGGAACAAGTACACTGCCTAAAAGTTGGTCTTTCACAGATCTTAATGTACATGGTATTGATCATGAGATGGAATCCCAGTCTGGAGACTGAGTGACGGCTGTGTCCTGCACACTCACTGCTGCTCTCAGTCTGGTGGGTGAGAAATGAGCCAGGGAGAAGTATCATGCCCAGAGTGGGCTCTGGTGCCCATACAAAAGACCCTTTCAGGTAAAATTTGACAAAGTGTCATGATTTTCACAGCTCTTGGAGGAGCATTGAATTTTGGGATTCACAGCATGAGTTTCTGAGCTCTTCAGGCTCCAAGTAAGGCAAACACTACATGTCTTTTCACTGTATCTCCCTTGGCTGTCACTCTTACAGTAAGGTCAGTAAGACAAAGCAGACATAATCTGCTCTAATAGGCGATGAGGTGATGGAGAAATGAATCTGGAAAGGAGATCAAAAACGGGGGGTGGGGGGTGGGGGGGAAGAAGAAAGAAAGAAAACAGGTAGTGACATAAGAGGAAGAGGAAGGAAAAATAGCTAGAAACCAAAAGATGGAAAAAACTTGTAGTTCAAAGTTTCAGTGAAAAGGTGCTGGGCAGAACCCTGACTGGACCTGAGATTTCTCCTTTCTTTTCCATGTTGAAAACACTGAACCTTAGGAGGTGAGCTGTAGTTGAGTAAGTTGTAGTTTTCACTGTAACTTCTCAGAAATTATACCAACTCCCATTCCCTCTCATCATGCTCAGGGCCACAGGCCCCAAGGACCCTGACAGCACTGCTGCTGAGTCAGGGTGAAACTGGACATTAAGACAACGTGGCTGAGCTCAGCCAGAACACGATGTATCAACTGCAGGTAAGTGATTTCAAGTCTGTAATGGGGCCCCCTTCTTAACAGGCAGGCTGAGAATTTAAAGGTAAGGTTGGCCCCAGAGCAACTTCTCCCCTATGTTCTCAAGTACAAGGACAGAGCACAGGTCACTGTTCCTTCAGCCCTGTTACCAGATGCATACGTTCCAAAATCACTGCTCCTGGCCATTTCAAGTGCCACCCCTGTAATCGGCAAACTTGAAATTGTACCTCTGTCTGGTTGGTAGCTGTACCCGTCTCAACTGTCCTCTGCTGGGGCATATGGCTGCTATATCACTACCTCCTGTACTTGGGCAATGGAGCTGGCAAACCAGGTGCACCTGACTCATTGCTGATCTACAAGCTGTCCAGCAAGAACTCTCTAAACAAGGGCACAACGAAGTACTCAGACTGCTCCCTCCTAGGAACCCTGTCCTAGGAAGGGAGGGGTACCAAGGTGAAGAATAGGTTCTCTCTATACAGTCTGGGCAAGTGGATGGAGAACAGCAGAATCTGGTTAGTATTACTCTGAGCCACGTGGAAACCTGGCTCTTTTCTAATCCTATTTGGTCACAGCTTCACAAGCCTCCATGGTTGACCAGGTGTGTATTTCACTTGTCTCAATGCTATGTCTAAGGCCCAGGCCTGGAAAATAGACATGGTACATTTTTATTTCTCCTGCTCATGTCAGTTTTCTATTCCAGTGTGGCACAGACTGTCAACCTGCAAAGGAAAGGCACATAGAGATTCCCACCCCCACCCCACACACTAACCAGTGGGGGAGCAGAAGAAACTCAGGAGTTGGCCAACATTCCAGGATGGTGCCACTCTTCTCCAACAGACAGACTTGAAAATGTGCCTGGAGCTCTGACAGTTCTCCCATGGCAGTGGCTCTTAGGAGGATGGGAAGAGGTGACAAGTGTCCTGAGGCTGGCTTTAGCATGTTACTCACTAGCCAAAGAATCTTAATTCTCTCAGCTTTTTTGTTTTGAGGTTTTCCGGGTGGGAGTGGGGAGAAAAAGACCCCAAGGGAAAAAAGAGGGGGTGGGGCTTCAGTGGGAAAAGAATGAGATTGTGGAGTTTGGTGGCACAAAGCATCCCTTTGCCCACACTCCTGCAGGTACAAACCCAGAAACTCAGCTAACTCTGGCATGTAATGACACTTCTAGTAGCCCTGACGCAGAAGCCCAGAGTACAGTGAGGTGCCCTCAAAGAAGGCTGGTTGCAGAGTTTCGTGGTCCCTTTGCAGAGATGTGTCACTGGGTCTGTAGCCCTACCTGACTCTCCCCTCTCTTGGAGCGGGCTGCTTGGATGGATGCAGACACTCTGGGTTGGCTTATGTCACTGCCTGAGCTGTTGTACCCAACTTTGTTACACATCACTATTTCAGATAAAACTCATTAAGACCATGCCCAACCTTAGTATTTTTTTAAATGATTGGGAGAGAAACCTGTTCTTGCTTATGTCACTAAAATAAATACATGTACTTAAGAACTCAGATGAAGGCTCGGCGCCTGTGGCTCAAGCGGCTAAGGTGCCAGCCACATACACCTAAGGTGGCGGGTTCACATCCCCAGCCCGGGCCCACCAAACAACAAT